CTCTCTCTCTCTCTCTCTCGCTCTCTCTCTCTCGCTCTCTCTCGCTCTCTCTCTCGCTCTCTCGCTCATTCTTTCTCACTCATTCGCTCACTCACTCTCACTTTCTCTCTTATTCTTTCTCTCTCCCTCTCCTCTCCCTCCCCTTGCCTTCTCTTCCTCTCTGTCTCTCCCTCTCTCTTTCCTTCTCTTTCTATCTATCCGTCTATCTATCTATATATCTATCTCTATCTCCGCGACTCTTTTTATATGGCACGACTGGTCAATGGTGGCCGAGGAGTGCCATCATCCCGTCGCACGATCCTATTACTCACTCTTTACCTCTAGTTCGATAATACTTCGCGGACGGATATATGATGACATTGCGGCTAATATTATTAGTATTGGGGCGTACGTTCCATCCCCATACTTCGACAAAGAGCGCGCGACGAAAGGACGAGAGAGGAAAAGAGAAAGTATTATTTCTTGCGTACACCAAACGGTTTCAACAATGTGTCCAGTTCTGATCGTTCCTCGATAGTTTTGGTAGCTTTTCCTAAACAAAGGACTATAAAATTAAGCTTCAATATAAAGGATCCTGGCCCGACCTTTGCTATCCTCTAAATTCATCCCTACCAGCTTCAGCACTCTGGGTTGGTGGCTGACTATCCGCGCACTTACCCGTATCCCGCCCTGTTTCTATTTTCTTCACGTAGCCATTACCTGACGCACATTCGTTCGGTCACTGTTTAAGCACGCTCATTGTAGAACTCCTGCCTACGTTCATGGGAGAGACCTCGTTGAGTCGCTCCGTAATTTCGCAGGGCTTCGTGGGAGTATTTGCGGATGACGTTAGTCGACCTGAGCTCCCCCTCCCTCCCTCCAAAAGACAGTTGTAATTGGTTGCCGTCCAACGCTTGCCTGGATCAGTACTGTATGATTCTGGTTTCGGCTTTCATTCATTAACTGTCGTTTCCACTCAATTAGGTTATTGCTATGCCATTCATTTCGTTAACTGACGGCTACATATTGTTCTGCTTTTCTGTCATAAATTAACGATGCGAAGCACTCACTTTAAGAAGAATTTAGTCAAAATAAATCAAGTTAAACAAACTCAATTTCAAAATTACATATTAGGAATTACCAGTCCTACTTATTTTGATAAAATTTAGGTACTTTTTAATTTTTTTTATTTTTTGAATGAAAGGAATTCAAATTTTAATTTAATGTTAACTTTAATCGATTATAAAGCTAACTCAACATATTATTGTATATATTTATAATTAAAAATGGGATAATTTGTGTATTATGCGATTAAATCATCATGTTGATAGTTGATAGAACATATGCTATATATGTAATTACGCGTTTCATTTTCGTTGACTTCTTATTCTGCTCATTGAAATTTGTAGTTTAAAAGAAGAGTTTCAATAAGGCTGTTTTCTCTGTTTATGCCAAATCTTTAATAAATATTGTGTTGGTCTGACGATTTAAGCACTAAATATTTCAGACAAAATAACCCTTCTAATTACGCAATTATTTATTTACTCCCAAAGGGAATACTCATCAACTTAATTTGTATCAGATAATCTAAGTCACAGATTTTTTCAATCTATAAGTGTTGTAAACTTGGCGTATGTTTATAAAAAAGGAATAAAAAATGATCAAAAGACAGATTCCTAACGCATAAGATGCTTATTTTTACATTTTATATAGAAAAAATATTTCTTTTGATATATATATATATATTTGGTTTCTTTTTCCATATTAATCCTTACTTCCTTCGTTTGCTACACAAGATTTTTATTAAGATATTCACTACAAAATATAAAGAGCACATTATGAGATCATTAATGCGAAACGTTTTCATATAAAAGATTTTCTGAACTTGTGAATTAAAAACCGTGCATTAAAAATATGCTTCATATTAAGTACGTTAATAAAATTTATTGCAAAAGACAAAAGTACAAATTAATTCGGAATTATGTAAAGTAGGTTAAAATATATATCAAAATAATATAGATGTATGATTTTTAATCTGAGTTCAAAAAATATGTTTTATATAAAATCCTTCCGCATTAAGGTTTACAATATACTTTTTATTTTCATTTTGTACTTTTATTTTGAACTTAGTACTTTAATAAAATTCATGACAAAAGGAGAAAGCGGGAATTAATGCAAAGCAATGTAAAAGAGATCAAAATATTAATCTAAAATTGGCTTTTTCTTACATCTTATATAAAAATATTTTATGTGTTAGAAACGTATCCTAGTCGTTTTTATCTTTTCTTAATAAACATACACGATTATAATATTTACAGACTAAAAAGAATCATGAAATTTTTGAATTATCTAATACGAATTATATATGATAAGTACCTCCTTCAGCGATATAACATTATATATGTGAATGCGTGATGAAAGAAAAATTATTTTTTTTGAAATACCTTTAGTGTGCTTAAACTACCACAGTAACACAGTTTGCAAAAGATTTGGTTTAAGTAGGAAAAAACCTTATTGGCACTTCTTTCTTCGGCAGTTTGTAGATTTAACCTAATTTTTATTCAGTTTAACTCAATTCCAGTTTCTGCGATAAAATTTTCTAGAATTTGCTAATCCTTTTTACCTGATTGTTTTATTTGTTTACATTGGCTGCGTTCAACAGAGAAAGTTACTTTAAACTGTTGCGAAATTCGAGG